CCGAGAGCGAAACCGGGCGCTCCAAGACAGGGTGGGCGGTCGGGCCCCCTCTCAGCGACGACCGGGCGGAGTGGGGCTACACGCCCCCCCCCCTGCTGGGCCTATCCCGCCCTACCGTTGCCCTCGACTTCAATCCTCGGGCCTCGAGGCCTGATCCCCCAAAACAGCCCACCCCTCGGGCGAAGAGAAATATGCACATGCACCGATCCTGACAACGTCCATCCTTGACCCAGGATCGGTGCATATGCCTTCCTGGCCAAGGTAGGAGGGCATATGCACCGATCCTGGGCTCAGGATGGGTCTGGCCAGAATCGGTGTATGTGCATAGTTTTTTTCCTCTAACCCCATGAATGCGTGTCGAACAACATTAGATTGTGCAGCGTACGTGGAGCATCATACGTGTTGCCACCCATGTGGTGCACCATACGCGGCGCACACTGCGTGATGGCAGATACGCGGTAGGATATGTGTGGTGCAATCCTCGTTGTGCCATCGATGTGAGTGCCCTTAACTTCGTCGCGCGCGACCCCCCCCCCCCCCCATGCTCGCAAAATCCTCCCACCCACCCACTCGCAACTTAGTTTACAAAACCCGCGCGGCGGCGACTGCGATGGGTGCTTGGCGCTGGGAGGCTCGTGGGCAGAGCGGCCAGCCGGTCGGGCGCGACCGACGCGGCCGCGGCGGCGCTGACCGGTGGCAGTGCCCAGTGCTTCTCGCAGGCCGCGCTGACGCGCGGGCGCACCACTGCGAGTCGGTGGCCCAGGCGGGCGCGGTATCATTGAAGGGGAACTGGGACACACAAATAAATACACACAAATCAAAATATTTCTAGTTCGCGCGCGCGGGGCGGCCCCTGGGGGTCCCCCGGCGAAAAGTACCCCGACCAACGCCCGACCGCCGCCCGACCCCCGCCCGACCAAGTCTACTCAGAGATGGTTTTCCTTCTGGGTGCGGCCTCTCAGGCTCCCCAGAGCGCGCTCAGAGTGCCCCAAGAGGCCCCCAAGACTGCCCAAGAGGCCCCCGAGACGCCCAAAGAGCGCTCGAAGACGCCGAAGATGACCCCAAGACGGCCCAAAAGGCCCCCAAGACAGCCCAAGAGGCCTCCAAGACGCCCCAAGAGCCTTCCAAGAGGCCTCCGAAGAGAGCCCCAAGAGGCCAAAATCGTTGATTTTCATTGGTTTTTTCGATGTTTTTTGTGTTCTGGCTTTTTCGGCTTCCGGACGCTCCAAGACGGCCCAAGAGGCCCCCAAGACCGCTCCAAGACGGCCCACGAAGCTCCCAAGACGGCGCCGAAACGACCCAAGAGAGCCCTCAAGACGGCCCAAGTGCCGCCCAAGACGGACCAAGAGGCCCCAAGACGGGCCCAAGAGGGACTCAGGAGGGATACCGAGAACTCAAAAATGGAGCCCTCCGTCCCAGAAGGCGCCCAGGAGGTCCCAAAGAGGCCCCAAGAGGCCTCCAAGAGGCCCCAAGATGTCGCCAAGAGGCCCCAGGAGACTCCCAGGAGGCCCAAAAGAAGCCCCAGAAGGCTTCAAACATGTCTCCCAGGCGCCCCCGAACGGCCTCTCAACAGACCCCAAGAGGCCCCCCAAAGAAGCATCTTGACGACGACTCCTATTTCGCCCCATCGAGAGACGACCCCCAGGGAACTGCTTCACCATCAAAACTCCCCACGCAACGCGTCCGAACGACACCCGCCCCCAAGAGCGCAACATGGGCAACGAACACACAGACAAAAACCAGCGATGCCATATCACGGGCCGGCGGAATGAGCGAAGCGATTCAATAAATACACACACAAATCAAAATATTCCCCATATTTTCATATATTTTCTAGGTTTTTGTCTTCCCCCCAAATTCCCATATTTTCCAATCTTTTCCTAGGAGTCGCCGATTAATTGTGTCTGTGTGTTTTTTTCCCTCCTGAATCATGGCGACGTCGACAAATTGCAGACACGATGATGATAGTAGCGATGCTTGTGTCGATAATGACAATGACAACGGCAAGGGCAGTGACGGCGCCAATGCTGATCACGCCGATGACAATCGTGGTGCCATCGCGTCGGTGATGAAGGTGCCGCAAAGAGTTCCACATGCGAACACGGTCGACGCGCGCGAGGTGGCCCGCATGATATGACTTGACAGGGGCTGTGCCCCCCCCAGCACGCGCGCCAGGGTGTCCGAACGATTGTGGATGCATTTGGTGAGCACGTCACCAAACCATGTTGTCCTAAGAACTCGCAAGAGCGCGATCGCAGGCATTGGATTTGTATCACAACTCCTGGTGCGCAGCCACTGATTTGCACGCGTCCGGGACAGTCGATTTTGAAACCCTTACGACACCTTCAGTGTTCGTAGGATTTCGGGACGCGCGCGCGAAAACGCACGCACGCGTGCAAGCCGTCCAGTTTCACGCTGGGGAGTCTTACGACAGCGCGCGCAAGGGCGCCCGAATGAGTCCGACGTGCGCGCAAGAAGACAAGTTTGGCCGCATCCGATTAAAATGTTGACCACAACCGATGGTTTCTTTTCGGATTCGAGGAAGCGCGAGTGCCGGTTTTTCGTTTGAAACTTGTCGTTGCGAGACCACTCGCGCATGTTATACGTTTTCGGGGCACCCGACTTCGAAATCAGTGCGAAAACTGTTGAATAGTTGAAGGATTGCGGCACGAGCACGCGACGACGCGCGCGCGCGTGCATGTCGTTCTGCGCGTGGCAGAGTTCTCTTGGGAACACCCCTGAAAATGAAAAAGCGCGCGCTGCATGTTGTGCCGAGGGGGGCGTCGACGCCGGCATCGCTGGGATCATGCGAACTCACACTGAGAATGAATGATGGGCAGAATCGAATGCAAACTGCACATCCACAGGTGGCGGGGATAATCCCCGGGGGGGAACTTCGAATTCCCGCTCACGACATATGCGCATCGTTTATCCGATCCCCGTCCCCAGCGGCGTGGCCTGGGCCCCGCTGGCCGATTTACCCCCCTAGATGGGGACATAGCCGTTGCCTTCGGGTTTCGGTGGGGTGCATCCCCAACTGGGGGGGTAATTTGGTGGGGGTCTCGAAGGGGATGGGGATGGGAATGGGGATTGGATAGACGATGCTGAACAGAGAACCTTCGCGGTGCAACTGGATTTGACAAGCTTGGAGTTCTCGACTCCACTGCTCGAGCAATCGCCCCACCCACCCGCCAACAACTTGGTTTGCAAGACCCATGCGGCAGCGATTTCGGGAGCGGCCAAGAGGGGGGCGTCCAAGAGGGGGGGGTGCAAATCAGGACCGGCGGCACGCGCGCGGCCCAGCGGGGGGACCAGCGACATAATGAAATAAGAAGAGGCGCCATGAAATCTCGGGAAATATCATGGCCCCCGCCATGATATCCACCCCCCCTTGTCACCGCCCCCCTCTTTGCCGCCCCCGACGATTGCGACGGGTGCTTGGCGCTGGCTGGCGCATATCTGCGGCCGCGCTAGCCCGCGCATGCTCGCGCGCAACGCGGCCGGATAGCCTGGCGCGACCGACGCGGCCGCGGCGGCGCTGCCAGCAGGTTCGGGCAGCTGTTTGCGCATGGCCCAGGGGTGCTCGTCGCCCACTCCTTCGACAAACGCATGGGGGAACTGGCCTCGACGCGCCGGGACATCCCGGCGGCGCGCGAGGCGGCGGCGGCCGCCGTCGCGGGATGGCGCGGCTGGGTCGTCGACGCGCTCACGAATGGAACACGCTGCGCCCATGGAGCCACCGGGCTCCAAGAGAGCCTCCGGTCGTCGGGCAGGACAGGGCAGGCGGACCCCCTACCTGCTGGCCGACAAGGCCATGGGCCAGTGGGAGGAGCAGCGAGGCGCCCACGGCGCCGACTGGCTGCCGCTGCCCGGCGATGCATCGAGCTGGGCACAGCTGCCGCCGCTCGACGGGCCACAGCTGCGCACGGCCACGCAGACCTGCAGCTGGAAGCCTGCGACGGGCCAGGGCCGCATGCATCCCGGGGCGATGCGGTTCTCCTCAGACACCGCCCATCGCCGCGCTGGCGCTGCTCTTCGCGCGGCGCGAGACACTGCTATCATGGCCATCCCAGCGCGCCACCAATGTCATAGTTCGGTCACCGAAACCAGAAAAAAGAGCGCGCGCCCCATAGCGCTCGCGTCCACGCTGGCCTGTGCCTGGGCAAGGGCGCGGAGGCCGTTGTCGAGGGATCGGGTGAAGCAGGGCCCTCGCGAGTGCGCATTCGGGGACGGCGGGGCCATTCGTCGGCGGATTCGGCGCGCGGCCGCAACACCACCACCGAGATCGCCCACCTGCTCGGCGAGCCCAGCCGCGCGAGCATCTTCAACTTGCACAGGGCCATCGACAGCGCCCCGCGCGGCCCGCTGCCGGAGGCGCGAAGGCCGCGCTACCCCGCGCGGTCGTCATAGCGCCTCGTCAGCAACTTCCGCGCGCCGAGGGTCGCCCGCGCATGCGACCCCTGGAGCCGCGAGGCGCGCGCGCGCGCGCCAGAGCATCCTGGCCGGATGCGCGCGCGGCGCGGGGCTGCTGGCGGCGCAGATCTACGGGGCGGCCACGCGCCCGCGGCAGGTCGCGGATGACCTCGCGCCGAGAGGCCTGATGGACGACCCGACGCTCCAGTGGATCGGAGAGCAAGTCGGGGCTGGCCGCGGCGCCCTCCACCGCGCCGTCGCGGGCCGCTGGGAACGGGGGCCAAGCCCACTAAGCCGGGCTAGCTCGCCACCACCAGGGCGGCGCAACGGGCATCTTGCCCCCGCCGCGCGCCAGCTGCGCCTTCGGGAGCGCGCTGGGGCGCGCAAGCTGGGGCACGATGCCCGCGGCCGCGGCGCGCGGCGCACGATCGCAAAGGCTGGGCTGGATGCGCTGAATGCTCTAAGGCCCAGGGTCGCGGCGCTCCAGAGGGCGGCGGGGCTGCGCGCCCAGGCCCCGCCGCGCTCAGGGCCCCTGCCATCCGCTGTCCATGGGGCCGCAGTGGACAAGGGGGCACCAACGAGCACCTGACGACGATCCGCTCCGCAGCGGCCATGCTCTCAAGTGGCCGTGGCTGGTAGGCCTCGACCCCATCACGCTGCACCTCGCCTCGCAGCGGGCCCCCTGCCTCGACCCGACATTCGATGCAAAGGTGTCCCCAATGCTGAAGTACTGCGACTTCATCCAGGGCGAGCGCCTGCCGCTGGCGAGGCTGCAGCGCGCATGGCAAAGCTGGAGGCGCAGCGGCGCGAGGCCAAGCCGCCGCGGCATGGGCTCCACAGGCCCATGGCCGTTGCCGAGATGAGCCTGCTGAGGATCGGCTGGACCATGCGCTGCCAGTCACCGGCGAGAGCGAGATGTGGCAGCGGCTGCAACCCCGCCCCAGGACGTAGCCCATCTCCTTCGAGCGGGCATCGCTCGATGACAGGGCCGGCGGCTTCTCGGCCACCGCGAGGCGGTGCTGGCCGACGCTGCGCTGTGACGCCGTGTTGTGCGCAAGGTCTGGGCTCCGTCCAAGGCCGCAGTGAACGGCGCACGGGCTGGCCAGCTGCGAAGCTGCGGGCCGGGGCCTCCTGGGACACGGTCAAAGGGCACACCATGGGCTACCTCGCGTCGGCGGCCTGGATTCTGCCCAGGCGGTGCACCGTGCACCAAGGGGCATCAGTTCTATGAGCGCCCGCACATCTTGACGCGAGGTGACGATGGGGACGGAGGGCAGCTGGAAGAACTGCCTGAGAAACTGCTCAAGCTACGCGACAGGATCAAGGATGGCGCTGGGGTCGGAACTGCCCACCCCGACTACGACCGTTTCGAGCTGGCGGTCGGCCTGCCGCTCCTCGCGCATCTGGTCGGGCCAGCAGCGTTAGAGGCCGAGGCGCGCTTCTGGGGCGATCACGCAGCACGATAGCCTACCACAACGGGTCGGGCTTCGACACCGCATGGCCTGAACTTTGCCACTGCGGTTGGGCCGTGGTGCAGCGGAACGGCCACAACATGCCCGTCAAGGCGGTGTTTGGCGCGCTGCCTGGGCGGCGCCAGGCCGTCGGCCGTGCGGAACGCTGGGCTTTCCGGCAGATGCTGCGCCTCACGCCGTACGTCTTCCATGCTGTCACTAACTTGTCGGCACTGGCCACCGAGATCGAGAGCTGGGACCCTGAGCTGGCCAGCGCGCCGGGCCAGCATGCTGCCACCTGGCGCTGTGTGCTCGAGCAAACGGACGCCGTCCCGCGACCTGGAGCGACATAGTGCAATGCGCACAAAGATGTCGACTTCTTCCTGCAAAGTGCAAGCAAACGCCACATTGGCTACGGCAATGCGTGGGCAAGTTTCTTCGCGAAGGCTGGGGCCCAGCTGCACGTGTTGCCGCGAATCATCCACGACTTCTTCCGCATGGAGACGACGGACGCCGCGGAGAAGGCCAAGCTTCTAGCGTGGCTGATGGCAGCGGTTGGCTCGACGATGGAGCACATGTTCAGCTGCCCCCTGCACCTGCACAGCTCGTGCAGCAACGCTATTAGCTGGTTCGCCGCGGGTCGAGCTGGCAATGCGGCCTCTGTCTGGCCTCGGCGAGCTCCGAGACAGGGTGGAGGCGACTGGAGCGCGCAGAGTGTGCGCCCTCAGCCCTGCAGAGAATGATGGCGCGCGCTCGTGCAGGCCTCCAGTACTCTGCTGCCGCTGCTCCTTGTGCTGCGCCACTGCCAGCTGCCTGCGAGGAGACCATCTCGATCGCTCCCAAAGGCGGTAGACCGTGTCCTGGGAGCCGCGGTTGGCCATCGAGGGGTGGACACTCGTGCGAGCAATTGGATGTTTGGTTCGAGCGGTGGCGGGTCGCCGCGGGGGCCCAATGGGAACCCCAGCGAGGAGGCTCCCAGGACGGAAGAGCACCAGTCATCTAGCAGGGCTGCTGAGTGGGGTTGCCAGCTGTGCTGAGTCGAGCGCTGCCTCGAATTGGCCCGATACTGTGTCTAGTATCCTTGAGCCCTCCTTTCGACTTACTCGGGGACACCCTATGGTCACCGAAAGCCAATTTGTCTACTGGCTGAACTGCGGGGATCAGCATCCACCCGCCAGCCCCCAGTGTTGATGGCCCACTGCAAATGGCCCCGCCACCTGGGAGGCCAATAGGCTTCGTCCCGCGGCCCTAGGACATCTTGAGGCCAAATAACACCCGCCCACGGGAATTCCCCTCAGTGGTGACACCCACGCGGCCTCGGGATAGCCGCGTTTTCCTCTAATCGGTCGTGGCTCTCGGCGGAGTCACTTAAGTCGCGTCCTCCTCCTCCTCCTCCTCCTCGTCATCCTCCTCCTCCTCCTCCTCCTTGTCCTCCTCCTTGTCCTCCTCCTCCTCCTCCTCCTCCTCCTCCTCCTCCTCCCTCCCTCCCTCCCTCCCTCCCTCCCTCCCTCCCTCCCTGCCCAATCGCCCCGCCCGGCGGCCCCCGCCGAATCCGGCGGCACGGGACGCGGCGGAGGGGGCGGAGGGGGAGGGGCGGCGCGGGCCCGACCAGGGCGAGCCCCCGCCGCTCGCGCTCCTCGCGCGGCCCGCCGGGGGGGGGGGGCGGAGCGTCGAAAGCAAAAAGAAGGGGGGAGGAGCGAGGAGGGAGGGCGAGCAGGGAGCGGGAGCTGGCAGAGGGAGGGAAGGAGGAGAGGTGATCCTCCGGGTCGTCCTCGTCCTCCTCCTCCTCCACCTCCTCCTGCTCCCGTCCTCCGCTACCGCCGATCACCCTTCCTCCCTCCACCTCCTCAGCACGCGCGTGCCCGCGCGCGCCCTCCTCCTCCTCCTCCTCCTCCTCCTCCTCCTCCTCCTCCTCCTCCTCCCTGCCCACCCCCGACTTTCCTCCCTGGTTGACTCCTCCTCCTCTTCCCCTCTCGTATCCCCCCTTCGCGGGGCCCGGCCTGGGGAGCCGGGCAGACAGGTCTCCGCAAGAACAGCAAGGGTGGATAGCGCAAGGGGAGATTTGCTCGCTTCGGGGCCTGGGCAGTAGCATCCTCTGTGTGTTCGTTAACGCGGGAATGGAGCGACTGAGATTTCCAATAAGCGCGTGGCGCGATTTCGGGATTTTGGCGACGACGATGCGTCGAATGTCGAGGCAGCGCGCCACGCATAACGAGACTCGGCGGCGCACGCGGCGAACCTAACGTAGTTGGTGATGTCCGCCATGATTGGTTCAGACGACAGCTGCGGCAGGGGAATCACGAGTATCATGGTGGTGCGCGCAGTACTGTGCACCAGGGACAATCGCAGCGTCGAGTGACGGCGGCCTGACGGGGGCGGGGCACCGATTCTGTCGTACTATGGTTGGGCAGAGGCGCTAGTCCCGTAGTCGCGGGACGCCTCACTTGGGTAGGCGGCAGGCGGCGCTGGACGCTGACGCCACTGGAACGCCGCACGCGCGCGACAGTAGGGGTTGCGCACGGAAGTGGTGCTGGTTGCCGTTTGCCGCGCCAGCATTTTCCGATTGGCGTCATCGCGCGTCCCTGCGACAACCACAGGCGGCCCCCGCCGCCTCCACGCATTCCCCGATCTGCGGAGGAAGGAGGTCGAGGATCGACGGTCGAACAGTGACAACTACTGAAGAGAGAAGGGGCACAAAAGGTGCAGGCCGGAAACGGGGTGAGCAGAGGTAAGGAGCAGGAAGCCAGAGAGCGGCGGAGTACAAAAGGAGCGAAAGAAGCCAGCTGCCGACAGAGTGAAAATGGGGAAGAACGATGGCAGCGGGAAGGCCACTCGGACAGAAAAATATGAAAGCGGAAGGGGGATAGTGGAAAGCTTCCCCACGCGAAGCCGTCTGCCCGAAAGCTAGATGAGATACGGGGGATGTATACACATACGCAAACATTTGCGCCAGAGCACACATATATATATATATATACAGATATACACATATATATATATGTGAATCTGAAAGTCTGTACAACCATGTGCATATACAAAAACCAGGATGTATACACCTACACATACACGTGCACATACACATACACATGCGCACACAGACACTTGCGCATACACATGCGGACACGCAAACACATGCGCATACACATACACGTACACATTCATATACATGTACGTATACGTGCAGCTATGCGTATACACCTGCCTATACATCTACATTAACAACATTTGCATGTCCATACACATTTAACAATACATCGACATACACGACGACTTACACGACCACAATTGCATATACAAGTACGTACACATACGCATACACATACACATACACGTACACATGTGCGTGTACACTTGCACGGACATAGACTTACGCATATGCATGTGTGTTTGCATGTATATATACACATAGTACATGCACATATGCCTGTTCAAATACTGCGCATAGAAATAAACAAGCATATAACTAACCAGATGCATATAAATATATGTGTATATACACCCGGGTACCTCTACATGTGCAGATACTTATGCGACCGATCCGAATACATGTACATACACATAGCCACGTCACCAGGAACATGTGCATGCTTATACGTGCGCGTAAATGTAGCCCTCAGCACGCACCATGACCTCCCTCTGTTTATTGAATATACGCACTATGTGTATTTATGCATTCCCCTAAAATGTCCGCGCCCAATGTTAAAGCATATGTTTGTTGAAGGGTTGCCCGGCTCGGAGCGAGCTTCGGTTTCGACACAACAACACGAAGTACTCAATAGGCTCCGTCTCCAAGACAACACCCATTACTCAACAACCTCCCTCGCCAAGCCGAAGCTGAAAATACCCCTTCCACTCTGCACAGTCCGTCTACAACACAACACCCAATATTATCCAACCTACGTGTCCAACACAACACCCACTACTCAACATACTCCCTCCCCAACACGAACGTGACAACAACCGTCCTTTCGACCTCTCCGTCTTCAGCACAACACCCAGTACTCAACAGCCTTCGCCCCAACAGGCTACCCCCCCAAGCAGAGCTTGGAGATAACCTTTTACTCAACCCCCGCCGTCTACTACGCAATGCCAAGTACTCAACAGCCCCCTTTTTAAAAACAACACCCGATACTAAACAGGTTCCCTCCCCAACCTGAATGTAAAATCGCCTTCTTCTCCACATCCTCCGTCTAGAACACAGCACACAGTGCTCAAAGCCTCCGTCTCCAACACACGAACCAGCCCACTCCGAAACCACGGCCCCCACGGCTGGCGCACGCACCTGAACCGCCACTTTCCTCTTGCCGTGCTCCAAGAAGAAAGGGGGGGTTCATGGTGCGCGCAGAGACCTGCATACGATACAGAAGCATATATACCTAGAACGCTATTGAAACAAATATAAGAGTCCGGAGAAAAAACCAAACCATAATCTTGTTAGGGCTATTGGGCTATGGGCCTATAGGGCTACAGGGCCATAGGGGTATAGGTCTACAGGGCCATAGGGCTATAGGGCAATAAGGCCATAGGGTACAGGTCTATAGTGGGGGGAAACGATTAAAGAACAACTTTTTGGGGCGGACGATTGAAAAAAAATGTTTCGCGGGGGCAGGGCAGGCAGACGGGGGGCTGACAATTCCGGGTTGCCTGGAAGGCCAGGGAGGGGGCACGGGGCGGCGATCCAGGGCGCGGGGGCCAGGCGGGGTGGACGGGGTGATTTTTCAGGGCGAGCTCGTCCTCCTCCTCCTCCTCCTCCTCCGCCTCCTCCTCGTCCTCCTCCTCCTCCTCCTCTTCCTCCTCCTCTTCCCCCACCTCCCAATCGCCGCGGCCGTCCGCAGGACGACCGGCGGCCGTCCGCAAGAACGAGGGTGATCAAACGCCTCTTCGAAAACCCCTTCCCTCAACTACTCCATAAATACCCCGTCCCCCCTCCGCAATCCTCCCCCCGCGGCCGCGGGTGATCAAGCGAGCGAAGGAGGACGAATAGAAAATCAGTTCCCCCCAAAGGGGCAAAAGCAAACGCCAGGGGGCGGACGATAAAAAAACAGTTTCCGGCGGCTGAATTCTATTAGTCCGCCCCACTCAATCATTTTGGGGGGGTCCGAGGGGGGGAGGGATTTTTTAATCGCTTCCCCCCATTAGGGCTATGGTGCTATAGGGCTATAGGACCATAGGGCTATAGGGTTATAGGGCTATAGTGCTATAAGGGCTATAAGGCTATAGGGCTGCAAGGCTATAGTGCATATCGGGCTGCAAGGCTATAGGGCTATAAGGCTATAGGGCTACATGGCTATGAGGCTATAAGGCATCCGGGCACCCGGGCACCCGGCCACCAGGGCACCCGGGCACTCAGGCGGACAGCGGAAATCGGCGGCACACCTCACCTAACCATACGAATCCGCTAGGACCCCTACAGAGGCAAGCTCTGAATTGGGAATCTGTATATATATATATATATATATACATATATGCATATATATATATATGAATACATAACATTGGAAACATGGCCTGGAGAACCTCTGGGGGGCCTCCACGAAGTGCGCTTCCTCCTCCTCCTCCTCCTCCTCCTCCCTCCTCCTCCAACTCACCTTCCTCCTCCTCCTCCTCCTCCTCCTCCTCCTCCTCCTCCTCCTCCCCTTCCTCCGTCCCCTCCTTCTCGCCCTCCTCGTTTCATGCCTGCTCCTCCTCCCCTTCCTCCCCCGTCCGCCTTTTCGTCATGTTCCTCCTCCAACTCTTCCTCCGTCCCCTCCTTCTCGTCCTCCTCGTTTCATGTTTCCTCCTCCTCCTATTCCTCCTCCTACTCCGACCTTTCGTCATGTTCCTCCCCCACTTCTTCCCCTTCTTCCCCTCCTCCTCCTCCTCCTCCTCCTCTCCTCTGCCTCCTCTTCCTCCTTGTTATCCTCATCCTCATCTTCCTCCTTCTTCTCCTTCTCCTCTCCTCCTCCTCCTCCTCCTCTCCTCCTCCTCCTCCTCTTCCTCCTCCTCCTCCTCTCCTCCTTTTTTCTCTCTCCTCCTCCTCTTCCTCCTCCTCCTCCTCTCCTCCTCCTCCTCCTCCTCCTCCTCCCCCTCCTCTCCTCCTCCCCTCCTCCCCCTCCTCCTCCTCCTCCTCCTCCTCCTCCTCCTCCTCCTCCTCCGCTCCTCCTCCTCCTCCTCCTCCTCCTCCTCCTCCTCCTCCTCCTCCCCTCCTCCTCCTCCTCCTCCTCCTCCTCCTCCTCCCCGTCGTCTTCCACATGTTTTGTCCTCCCTCTCCTCATTTCCATCCCGACCGTTCTCCTCATTCACATGTCGTTCCGTCTGGCCGCGTGACGTCGAAGTTCCTCGGCACCCTAGCAACCACGGCCAGAAAAAAAGGTCTGTTTTCCGATGGCCCGTCGATGTTCCGGATGGCCCGCTCGAGTTGCCAAGATGAGTCGCGGGCCCCATAGGCAGGGAGCTCCCGCCTGAGACTTCCTCGCGATCCACTCACAAACGAGGCCCGGGCTCGAGACATCCTCAACATTTGTTCCTGGGGGCGCTCAGATGCTATGCGTGGTCAATGATCCCGCTCGGATTCGAAAATAAGAAACAAGCCCCATAAGGAGGCGGGTCCCGCCTGAGCCTTCCTTTGCATTTCACTCACAAAGGAAGCCCTTGCTA